TTGCCTACCAATCAAGTCCCCCAACACCGCCATCACTCTCCGATGAGCAAGAAGCCAGCGAAATCAAACGAGATCTTCTTTGCCTCGTCACTAACCGTCACTTTCTCATCCTCCTGTTTTCGTTTAGCATAGGCTTCGCTCTTTTCAATGCATTGACTTTTCTTCTCTATCAACTTGTCGAACCAAGTGAATATTCGAGTGGGAATGCAGGTGTATTCGGTGCAATTATCATTGTAGCTGGTCTTGTTAACGCATGTATTGCTGGTGTGATTATGGATCGTACACATGCCTACCGACTCATACTCAAAGTATTGATTGTGGGTGCCTGCTGTTCGATTATTTATTTCATTGTCATTCTTCGCCCGTCCATGTTCTATCCGCTAGCTGTCTCATTCGGACTAATGGGTTTTTTTCTATTACCACTTTTACCCGTTGTATTCGAATGTGCAGTTGAGTGCACCTATCCAATACGTGCTGCATGGTCTACTGGATTACTTTTGTGTGTTGGTAATGTTCTTGGTGGCGTTTTCATTTTCATTCTCGACGATTTTATCAAAAAAGCTCCGGTCTATACATCAGGCGTTGTGTTTACACCCGCCTCCATATTCATATTCTGTATGTCGGTAAGTAGCGCACTTCTGTTGCTTTTCTACAATGGACCCTATTTGAGACTCAAAGCTGAAACTGCATATGTTGCCAAATGTTCCACAAATATGTAGTTTATTCGTGTTTGTTTTAATCGAAGAAAATAAAGCAGCAATTTACTTTAATAAGAAATCAGTTGTATATTGTCGATTATCACAAAAATGCTATTATATCAACTAAAGTACATTTTCGACTCATTATGACCTTCGTCCGATAGTCGTACTCAAAATTCAGATAGGATTGAATCGTGTGTATATCGAATGAAGTATCTCTGTGACAAGGCTATGAATCATTTCGTGTATGTATATTTTTCAGAAGAAATTCATTGCTCAAGATTTGATTGCGTATTTAGAAATTCTTCATAAAGTTCTTTACATATTGATGCAATAATGACTACTACGAAGCTTGAAGAATATAACTGTAGCAAATTAAATAATATAAATCATCAACATAACTAACTTTCAAAACTTACTTCATAAACAAATCCGTCAGTTTGTTTAGATTGGAAGAACAACTAATTATTTTGAAGGAGATTAAGATTTGGACGTAACATTCTACATTAAAAATTCAATTTCGTTTTTCTCCAAAAAAAGCATCGACTTTCTGAGGAAGTACTCATCTGGCTGATCACTCTCCAAGCAATCACAGCAATATCCAACATTTTCAAAAGTGACAATTGAACGAACATTGAGTGAGAAAGCATTTCAGCAAAGATACCATTACTAGTGTGTAAATACGAAAAAGTTCGATTCTCATAGAATTATTCTCAATTCTACTTGCTTGAGAATTGAGACAGGTGCCGTTAATTTTGAATTAAAACGTAGATTATATTATAATGATACATACTAAAAGTATTCATTTGTGAAAACATTCGCGTGTACTTTTCAAGTATCAATGAAATCATCAAATGAGTAGCTATTACAAAGACTTCTTTGTTTTACAAAATTTCATCTATCTGCAAAACCAACCTAGTATATATCAATGGTATATGAAGAGAATGTTTATTGAGCTAGATGTTGGTGTTTCAATGTGAATGAGTGCGTAAAGATCACAATATTTTTTCATCCACTCACACCATCTTCACTGCACACCTACACTTATCCTCCTTTGTTCATTAAGTCTTGCGTATTATCGAACGACAAAAATATTGTTTAATCTGTTTGAACCATTATCAAATATTTTAATTAGACAGTAACATCTATTGAATGCACCTTTTACTATAGTTTCATTACGGACAATAAATCTAATAGATCATGAACCATTGATTCCTACAGGATGCACAATTTAACAACCGTCTAAACTTAAAAATTTGTTGTAACTGCATTTGCAAAATGAATGTGCCGTAATCAAAACAGAACACTGAAAGATAACTATATTTATATGGAGCGTACTACTGCTTTCTGAAGAGTAGTAATATCTGTAACCGTTTACATGACGTTTATTGAGTTTTAGTTTGGCGTAGATTTTATTCTAATGTTTGTTATACTCTCTAGTATTCATCTTATAGCGTAATCTAAAGATCTATTTATTTATTCAACCTTAACATAGGTACACGTTATTGATGAATGCTCGACAAAAAAAATCAGTCATCAAACTCTTGACTTTGTGATCACATCAGAAATTTACAGCTTTATTCATCTATTTGGATATCTGTCCAGTGGACGATCTACAACTCATGTCAGAATCGAGATTCAACTAATAAATGAACGTTCATGAAACGAGCAAGTGCGACAATAAAAGTTTTATTCAACTATGTGTTTTTTGAATGTACAGCTCGTGCGTAAATGAATTGACCAATGATTACATGGCTAATGAATGCTTCTAACGATTCTTGCATCTTCGACATTCGTATATATTAGTAGTAATCTTCTGTTCACTATTATGTCCACTGATAAGCAATAGTTTGAACTTGGTCATCTAATCGATAGTCACATCACAAACGAATAGAATTTAGTGATGTTGCAATCACGACAACTACAATTATATTCGTGTACGTCGTTGACTTCAAAACGAACTTTTTCTATTCATTATATATCGGCTATCATATGAAAACTGAGTGCTTCTGATAAAGAGAACCACAATGATGATGACAAATATGAGAAAAATTCTGAACAGTTACTTCATTCACTTCAGGTGAATGGTATGAAATAAGTGAACTGATTTCTGATTATATGACAACTGAACATGTCTCAAGAGCGAAAAAACCATAACAATGGTTTTGGCGATGATCACCATGAATTTGTACAAATTTCTACGCAAGATCAATAAAAGGCTTTCAGATAGACAACAAGGAGTTAGATCACATAAAAATATGAATAGTCTCAATAGCAACGATGAATAATTTCAAATATCTTTTTACTTCAAAGCAATAGATGAAAAAACGTTATAGAAGGGGCAACGACGTAATAGATGATTATTCTTCATTACGACAAAAAAGCTATTGACATATGCTGTAGACTACGAAATATAGTTGATCACTTATATGAATAATCGAGAACTGCGTTGCCAGTGAATAGTAATGACGAGGAAAAGGACAGAAAAAGTGTTTCTCATGTGGAAGTTTTGGTAGGCGCTTCTCTGATGATGGCTCGGGTGGAGGTTGGTCAACTGTTGGCGCGAGTGAGTAGTGTTCAATTGACAGTAAGGGTGAGCGCTCTTTAGTGAATAATATGGGTGAGCGCCGTTCAGTTAATAGTATGGGTGCTTGTTGCTCAGTCAATAGTATGGGCGAGTGTTTTTCACTTGATGACACGGGTGAGCGTTGTTCAACTGATAGTATAGGTGAGCGTTGTTCAGTTGATAGCACTGGTGATTGAGGATCATTTGATGGTACGGGTGAGCGTTCTTCAGTTGATAGCACTGGTGAGTGATGCTCAATTGATGGTACGGGTGAGCGTTGTTCAGTTATTAGTATGGGTGAGCGTTGTTCAGTTGATAGCATGGGCGAGCTTTGTTCAGTTGATGACACAGGCGAGTGTTGTTTAATTGAAAGCACGGGTAAACGTTGTTCAGTTGATGGCATAGGTGAGCGTTGTTCAACTGAGAGTATGGGTGAACTTTGTTTAACTGATAGCTTGGTAGGATTTTGCTTAGGTGGTGCTTCGATCAACTGAATTGAATTGCGAAAATCTAAATAATTATAGATTATCAGATATAAATAATCAATTGAGAAAAAACGTTGTCCTGTATATCCAGGCAAATAAAGTCAATAAAAGAGGTTTTTAGAGATACCTGCATCAAATTTGTATCTGAAGAAATACAGAGTCAGTCTATATTCTGTTTTTTTTCAGCAAAATGGGCAGTAAGCTTCTCAAGTTTAAAAGAATGCTAGTAGTTTTATGCAGCTCTGTTTTAAAAGTTAATTATCGTATAAAGATTACAGAAATTATGCATACTCTTCTGTTCGATAAAGCTCCGCCGGATCCACACTCTGATCAGTGACACGCAGTACTCAATCAGCAATTTAACTTGTTGGTTAAATATCAGCATCCGACTGATGTACTGTCGCTTGTCGATGTTTCATCATATCTTTTCAACGCATAATACAAATGCTTATCATTCAAACTGAGTTACCTGTACTGTTAATTAACTATAATGAAAATTTTTGTGATTAACAATTCAACTGAGGTAGAAAGTCTCACGAACTCAAGTATCTTAACATTCAATCGATAGCGATGCATTTGAATTTATACTCACTTTATACGGACTGCCATCATGAGATATGTTTTTGTAAGAAAGTTGTTCTCTCCTTCTTGTCTCAATGAAAAGCCTATTTCCTCAAGACTGCGAGAAAACTCAAAAGATATTACAGAAACTGACGAATAAGGAATTTTTCATTAAGATTATTAATATATAGCGACTTCGATTTCTATAATAACATTTTTTTCTCGATGCTTTGAGACTGAAAGTGTTGTTACTTTTGTTTCTAACTATTTAATAAGTCTCACTACTTTCATATTTCATTTGATATCCTTTGATCTTCTCCGAGCGTCACAGACCATGGTAGAAATTTCTACGTACTTGTCTCTTTAATCTTTACCGACAGTGCTCGACACGTCTACAACCCTGCTTTACCGATAGAGAGGTTCCATTGTCTTGCAAATTTTATTCCGGCAGAAATTTTGCTGAAAACTTTTTAAGATGAATAGATTGTTGGAGCTCTAGGAACATTACTCAGTAAGTATGGATATTTCTTTCTTTCTGATCTACATACACATTCGTCGTTCTTCTACAGAACAATTTAGATCAACTTATCTGATGTCATCATTATCTTGACGTTTATTTGAAGTACTAATATTAAGATTTTATTTCAATGAAAACTCTTACAGACTTTCGGTACTTGAGAAAGAATATTTTTAACGCTTACCATTTGCTCCTACTAGACACACAACATATAAACCATCGGCAATCATGATCGGAGTGCCATCCATACGCACTTTCATTCCGGGCCACAATAACACTTCCTCCAAATCAGAAGTGGTGTAACCAGTTACATTCTTCCCATCAACAGAGTCGATTCTAAAGAGAATTCCATTGGGGCCGAGATGTTCTTTGATAGCATGAAATGACGTTGAACCAGAACTTAGACCACACCAGATCATTTCTGTATTATTTTTTATTACATTCATGTCATCACCGTACATTCCTCGCCAAATTTCTTTTGTCACATTAGGTAATTTATCGATTCCAGATTTCAACAAGGTGAGATAGAGAAGCCAAGGTATGATTTGAGATCGATTTTTAGATTGCAATGCTTCATTCAACTGGTCATAAACACAATTTTCGCCATATAGCATAGTGTAGAGATAAATAGCGGCGGATTCATCACGAGTGAGGCCGTGCTCTGATGGAAAATGACAATTTTTTTTGGCCATTCTTATGTAATGAGGATCAATTGGAGGAACAATGGGTTCCAGAGCTTGTTCAAGGGAGACGATAGGTTTTCTCAAATCTGAATCAGTGAGTAGTGGTCGATTTGTATTGTTGAGATCAACGTCGGTAAATCGATGCAATGCAAGCAATTCAGTGGGGTCAGTATAGGAAGTTTCGTTCTGTCCGTAAGATGGTGCACAGCCCATGTCTTTAAAATAATCTATGAAAAGGAATAAACTGGATAAAACTTTGTTCTGACACAAAATTATTTTCGTTTTCCGGAAAGGCAACACATCAGATGAATGTTTTAAGTATGGAGTCTTAGTCTATCCTTGTCACAGGAAAAGAACTCCTTGCAAGAGAGAGAGAGAGAGAGAAAGACTACGATGCGCTATTTTCATCTTGCGGAAAACCTTTTGAGCCATTTTCAACGTGTGCCACTCTCCTTCTCTTCCATGCGCCCAAAATCTCTCTGTTAGGCTTTTTAGGCCTAAGGTTCACTACGGGATATCTAAAATCATTTTTATTTCCTCTTCCAGTGAAACCCATTTGATGGGATATAATTGCTCTCTCCTAGTCACGAATATAGGTAACAGAAAAATCGAAAATGATCTTATGAAGAAAAATCTTCAAATTAATTATTGAAAAGTACATCACTCTTCTTGATTTTCGCCAAAAGGCACAGTCAGTACTTCCCATAGCTAAGAAAGAATTGAAAAACTCAAATAGATAGTGACTCCGATACATAATGTTAAATTGAACCCGAATATGCAATTGAAGAAATAATTGAAGGTTGATTTTTTCCAGTGATTGTAGAAGTCATTCGTCAACTTTTATTGTCAAACCATGAGTTCCATATTCTAATTTTCAGGCACTTTCATATGAAAAACAACTGGTTTTTATGTGTTTGATTACGAGAACCAATGTAAAGATGGAGACTTTTATTGAATGTTACGCAAAAACCAGTAGGAATGTGGTTCTCTATTTCGAAAGGGCCGCCCATTATACGATGAGTTGAATCTTTGCTTCTCTTGGAGCATAAATAACAAGAATTTAAAATTAAATATCCAATGTTCTCTTACTCAAATAGTAGTAACAGCATTGCCTTGGAACAAGAGAATATCGTATGAAAAAAAAAAGAACCAACCAACATTCAGAATCAGTGGGTTAGTGTAGAGCACATTACTATTGCTTACTGTTGGAGAAATCATCACATTTCTCTCAGAAGCAGTTGTGATCGATGGCAAATCTAAATATATTCAATTCTATTACATGAATCTGTAAAGGAATGTTTGAAAATGAAAAGAGCATGATATTTTTATTGAATTGCGCCTCCTATGAAGCCAGCATCATGTTTCATGCCTCTCTTTCTATTATTGCGGTCTCTTCGATCAAGTGTGGCTTCGAAAAATAATTATGCATTGAGTGAATTTTTTCTTTCGTTATTATATCAAAAGCCGAAGCAACAACAACTTCGGTTGCATCGAAACCAATGAAAAGAGTGACAAAGATGCATTGTTCACGTCGATGAATATTCAATGTCAATGTAAAGAAGAAACAAGCTTATTCATCCAAATGCATTATATTTTCACCAAATAAAACTAAGGCTACATCTTCATCGTTGAAAATTAAATCAGAGTCTCTCAAATGAACTGCCACAGAGATTTTGATCGTCGATCAGCAGTCTCTAAGTGTTGGGAGAACTGGACGAATGCCAAGAGTATATCGAAGGAGTACATATGTTTGTGGACAAAGAGAAGAATCACACCCACATCTTCATTACTGGAACAAAAAATATTAAATATTTTCTTCTTTTTATGGATGTTTTGCTTTAATGTAAAAATTACAAGTATTCTTCAATGAACATAAACTGTAAATGAACTTCTTTGGAAATACTGTCACATGTCATTTTTCTCATTAAGCTGCTATTGTGATGATTTTTTAACATGATCTGAAGCGACTCAAGAAATATCAAGAATGGAATGAGCACTTTCTTGATCTTACTCAATCTGAAGTTCAACAATACCCAAGTGATTCGACTAGAGATTGCAAAAACAAGTTTTTTACATTTCAGTCATAGTTTCTGTTTTGATTCTTGCCTATAGAAAATTACTTCGAAACATATACTCTTGCTATCGAAAAGTTATCAAGATTTTGGTTTTTCCAGTTGAGTTATAGTGTTATTGGCATCATATATAAAATAATTTGTTCAGAGACAATAGAAAATCTAACTTACCAATATCAGTTTCATAATACCTTTAGGTTTGATCAACAAACTACAATTTGAACTTTTTATATTAGTACTCGATATGACTATATCAAATCATTGCTTGATCATGCCTCTTCAATAGATAATCAAGTCGATCAACTTGAACCATATTCAATAGAATGTATGCTTCTTACTATCAAGTATCCTCAACTTTTATTCATTATCACTTGTTAGTTTTCAAGAAGAAATACTCGTTCAATGAGCAACATAAGATGAGATGCCTATTTAAATGCCATGATTAAACAACTTAATTTTTAGTATGTACACAGCTGTTTTTAACAAGAATGCTAGAATTGATCTGCATATGTCAAAATTAGATCAATGAAGATCGAAGGTAGGTCTCATATCGTTTTACTTTGGTATCAACTCTAAACCTTCATTCATTTCAACAGTTCTTTTCAAGATGGTATATTTGATATAGTTTGATGTTTATTAATGAAATTTCATAAATATATAATTAATTAATTATCTGTGAAACAGATTGAACAGTGAATAAATGACACAAACCCTACAAGGTGTTTGATAGAATTAGTGTACGAGCTCTTTAAAATACTCTGATTTCGGAAGCAGTTCTTTTAAATGTTACAAAAGATGATAGTTATTTGTGATATGAAATAGTTTGGAAAAAAAAGTTTTTAGATCATTCAGTTCTCATCATAGATAGAAACTAATTGAAATCAAATGTTTGACCAATAGTCTTTGAAATAAGTTTTAAACAGAAATTCTTTTATCCACTAAACAATTATAAAAATTGACTGTATTTTCAAATGAAACTACATTTTCAAAAATTTGTAATATGATTAGTTATTGTATATTTGTAAAAAACAATTATAAATAATATATGCAATATTAATAAACCTCTGCTCCATAGATTTTCAATATCTGTTTTTTTTCGAAAAACTGTTTTAATTCATGAGGTAGTCGCCTTGTCCACGTAACGCTAGCGGCAGAGTGTAACACCGTTACGTTTTTGCTCATTTTGTTTTGGTCATAACTCTGAAAGGAAAAGTCATAGAGAGGTGAGCGATGTCTTAAATTGAAGACAAATTTGTTTTGAAGATTTTAAGATTAGTCCGAGCTCATAAAAAGATCTTCTCGAAAATCTATAACCAAAATACTAATACCTACTTTTTCGCTGGATTTTTCAAAAGTAGGTGTTGGTATTGCACTGACAAATTTTCGAGGAAACGTTTTTATGAGCTCGAACTAATCTCAAAATCTTCAAAACAAATTTGTCTTCAATTTAAGACGTCGCTCACCTCTCTACGACTTTTCCTTTCAGAGTTATGACCAAAACAAAATGAGTAAAAACGTAACGGTGTTACGGAGTTACGTGGACAAGGCGTAGTATTTAACAGATTTTTCTTTAATGAATGTATATAAAAATGTATTCATATAGTAGTCACTGCTATATAACGCCCTCTCTTTAACTTAGAGGCTATGCGTAGTTTTAATGCAATGGTGAAACAGTATATGTAGCTTATCACAATCGTAGATGTTTACATCATATTATTGATCATTGTTATATGTCATTTTCCAAATAAGAAAAATGGCTTTAGCTAAACGTATAAAATATCCGAGTGTTATTGAAAGATATTATACAAAATATTATCGTCCTAATGTTCATAATGAATCAAATAATGATACACTTGTACTTGTTCATTCAAATCGTGTTTGTGTTTTAATGCTTTCTGAACGACATCCAATAATAGAAAAATCTTTAGTTATTAATTCAATTGAATCATTAGCTAATATTAATCAATCAATGAGTGGTAAATCAAAACGTGGAGCTGATTATGTTCAACCAAATAAATTACTTTATCGTATAAAATGTGAAAATAATCAAAATTTTACTATATGCGCAAGTATAAAAGGACGTTTAGTTGAATTAAATGATGAAATTATAAAAACACCTGAACTTTTACAACAAAAACCACAAGGTGAAGGTTATTTAGCAATACTTATTCCATCTTTAAAAGATGGAGAAAATAATCTAAAATTATTAATAAATGAGCAAGATTATATTTTATCAAAACAATCTTCATAAATTCATTCCTTCATTTTCTTTAAGTGTCAGTTATGAAAATATGGACAGTTTTTTTTTGTTTCATTATTCTAGATTATTTTTTGTCTTTATTTTTGTATACTTGTCTTTTTTGAGAGTAAGGAAGCATGAGCATGTGGGTTTTTTTTTGTTATGCATCTTCCCCATGTATGTTTATTATTATTTTTTTCTTGTCTATTAAACAATAAATGCGATTAATTCTCTAATCTTCTAGTTAAGCCAAACTAATGGGTTGGGAAGAATTACCAACTATTTTATTAGAAGAAATTTTCAGTCTTCTACCAATCCGTTATCGTTATTATTGTTCTCAAGTTTGTCGATCATGGTATATATATATATTAACCTCTAATATTCATTTATATTAATTATATTTATCTTAGGTATAAAACATTTCATTCACCTATTATTTGGCAAACATTTATATTTGATGGTATTGTATTTACACGAAAAAAATTTAATTTATTTCGTGGTTATGAACGTATTCTTAATTCATATCGTGTTCAACTTTATTTACCACGTAAAAGTCAATATATAAAACGATTAATTATAAAACCTATACCTGAATATCATAATATGTGTGATTTTCTTAATATATTAACAACATTTTTTCATTATTATGGTTCAGATGATTATCCATTACCATATCTTGAAGAATTTTCATTTACATTTCATGTCTTAGTATCAATTGATGATGATACAAATAATCAAGGTGCTATAATAAATGCATATTATCAACAACCAAATGTATTTATATCTGGTAAAAAACGTTATTATGGTACAGGTGGAATTATTTTACAAACATTACGTCGTTTTATTTCATCAATTCGTTGTTTAAAACGTTTTCACTTAAATAATCTATTACTTGAATCAAATTCTGATATAGGTGCATGTCTTGATGAACTTCTTGAAAATTCATGTGAAACACTTGAATATATTGAAATACTTAATTACACATCACAAATTATACCATTGTATATAGTTGGATTATTTACAAATTTATATATAATATCAATAAGTTCACATTCATTAAATGATGATGTTCTTCTTTTATTTGCTAATCATCTTATTCATTTACATCGATTAAATATTATACAAGATGAATTAACAATACCATGTCGTTATTCAGATTCAATTTGGACTGAAATTGATATTATTTTACGAGAAAATAAACGAGAATGGTGTATACGAATGATAACAAATGGTAAATGTAAAAATGAACCATTTTGGTTAACAAAACCAGCACCAGTACGAGCTATTGTTTATGATACAAGTTTAATTAGAGTAGTACAAACTTCAATATATACTTGTATGGAACAATATAGTAAAACATTAGAAATTTATGTAAGTAACAAAAGAAATTTCTTACAAAAAAGATGTATTTATAGTTAACAAAGGGATTAGATCAATTATTACTCGCTCGTTTTTAGCTTAGAATGTTTCTTTATCTTGAGATATTAAATTTTCAAGTAAGCTCGATTTTTGTGACATATTTGTGGTAAAAGACTTGTTTGAGAAATCCATTATTTCGACAAAGAAATATTCTAAAAGTTATTATATCGATCTATGAACTTTGAGATAGGTTCTTTGTAAGTCAAATTCAAAAAAAATATGAAAAAGAAAAATTAGTCACATAATGAATTTTTATTTTAGGCTCATTTTCAATCAATGTGTCGTGTCTACATACCACGACCATTTTTAGAACGTGCTGATATGGCTTATATAGGTCTTGTTAAAACAATACAATATTTACATACATTAGCAATAAGAGAACGAATTTCAACTGCAACTTGTCTTCTTATAGCATATTATGGTACAAAACATAATCTTAAATATTTTTATCTTAGACGTAATTGTGTTATTTTACGTAATGAATATAGACAATATATATTTAATGAATTCGGTGATAATAATGAACAAATACATATATGGTTAGAAAAAAATTGTCGACAATATAATCATGTAGAAGATGCTGTATCATCATTATTTGGACGACGATGGAAAATGCTTAGTGATTGGGAATACAATCAAATTCGTGTTTAACTTCTAATTTTTAGTTTTCGTTATTTTTATTTTATTTTTTTTCACAGAAAAACTAGCTTTCCTTGTTATTCTTGTATAATAAATAGACAAACATAGCAAATACAGAACAGAAAATTTTTTAAAAATATATACACTCAAGCTCATAAGAATAATTATTTTTCCGTTAAAAAAAACACAATAAATATGAGAGAAGTATACAAACTTTCAATTATTCATTAATATCTACCATTACTTATCAAAGAAAGAACATACTTGAATGTGTTTTTTCATTTTCTACAACTCAAAAGCTATATTTCAGAACAGAGTGTGTCAATCAATCATAACTCATAACAAAAAAATGGAGGCAGTGGGGATTGAACTCACGACCTATCGCATGCGAAGCGATCGCTCTACCACTGAGCTATGCCCCCCATATGTCGCTCATAGAAAACTTCTGTAGTCAAAAATATCAAATTCTAATTGAAAAAAAGAATTTGTATTCGGACCAATTCTTTTATAGAATATTAAATAAAATTTAGTTTCTTTTCTTCAATTTCATTAAATGATTTTTCCTTTTTTTTTTTTTATTTCGCTTTAATTATCATGCATAACTATAGAAAACAATCAAACGATTATAAAGAAGAAAAAAAACACAAAGCTATTAAAAGTGTCTATTTGTTCTTATTATCTTTATCTTTATCTTCATCGGATTCTTGTTGTTGATCAGATGATGTAGAACCACCCGATGATGATGATGATGATGATGATTGAGAACTTTCACGATCAGATTGCATCTAAAGTAAAATTCATATTAGATTATATAAGAAAAACAAAGAAAAAAAAATGAATTCATACTTTTTTATAAGCTGTTTCAAATAATTTCAAACTTTGTCTTTGAAATTCATCAGCTGCTTCTTTTATATTTTGAACAGATTCATTATCTTTATTTGATAATTTTTCACGTAATTTTGAAGCACCTTCTTTTAATTTCGAATACTAAAAAAAAAAAGAAAATCAAATTGATGATGTTTTCTTTCTTTTGAATCAATAAAAATGTATTACTTCATCTGATGGTAATTGATCTTTATATTCTTCCATTTTTGATTCTGTATCATGTAATATTGATTCAACACGATTAACTTCTTCAACCATTTCACGTCGTTTCTTATCATCAGCTGAATATTTTTCAGCAGCACGAACCATATTTTCTATATCATCTTTACTTAAACCACCACTCGATTGAATAACAACTAAACAACAAAATCATTTCAAAATCAATACTTTAATTAAATTAGTAAGGCTTTTTTTTTTCTTTTACTTTGTTGTTCTTTTCCAGTACCACGATCACGTGCTGATACATGTACAATACCATTAGCATCAATATCAAATGTAACTTCAATTTGTGGAACACTAATTTAAATCATAATCAAGATTAAATTGAAAAAAATTTCTTTTTCTTTTCTTTAGTTATTTTCTTACCCACGTGGTGCAGGTGGAATACCGACCTAATGAAAAAAAGTTTTCATGCTTTTTTTTTTAAAGAATAAAACTTACTAAGTTAAATCTTCCAAGTAATTTATTATCAGCAGCCATTTCACGTTCACCTTGATGTACTTTAATTTCAACTTGTGTTTGACCATCAGCAGCAGTTGAAAAAACCTATGAAAAGGAAAATATTTCTTTTTTGTTCGTCGATTTCAAATACATTATATTTGTTTTTCATCGTAAAAAAAACAACACTTACTTGACTTTTCTTTGTTGGTATTGTTGTATTACGATTAATAAGTTTTGTAAATACACCACCTAATGTTTCAATACCTAATGAAAGTGGCGTAACATCAAGAAGAAGAAGATCAGTTACATCACCACCAAGTACACCACCCTGAAATATTTTTAATACGAAAATACAAAAAAATACTCGAAGAAAAAAAATAAATATTTACTTGAATAGCAGCACCCATAGCAACAGCTTCATCAGGATTAACAGATTTATTTGGTGGTTTACCAAAAAGTTCTTGAACAGTTTGTTGTACCTAATGAAGAATAGATAAAAGTTAGACAAAATACTCGTACTCGAATATCAAACAATTCTAGTAATGTTTCGGTATACAGATTGTACTTAATGGCATCTCTTAAGAGAAAAAAAGATATTTAATTAACTTTCTTCTTACTTTAGGCATACGAGTCATACCACCAACAAGAATAACTTCATTAATATCTGATAATTTAACATCGGCATCTTTAATAGCTTTTTTACATGGATCTAAAATGAAAGATAAATTTCTGATAACAAAAAAAAAAAAGAAATTAATAATCATTCTTACCAACAGTTCGTTTAATTAAATGAGCAACAAGATTTTCAAATTGTGCACGAGTTATTTTTGAATTCATATGTTTTGGACCTGATTTATCCATTGTTAAATAAGGTAAATTAATATCTGTCTATATAAGAAAAATATTCAATTTTAATATTTTTAACTCAAAAATAAAAATTATTTCTATTGTTACTTGTGCTGCTGATGATAATTCACATTTAGCTTTTTCTGCAGCTTCTCTTAAACGTTGCATTGCTTGTGGATCTTTTGTTATATCGATACCACTCTTCAAAAATAAACAATGTACATTATTTTCAAATAAACTTAAAATATTAAATTTACTTCTTTTTTAAATTCAGATACAAGATGTTTAAGTAAAGCATTATCAAAATCTTCACCACCTAAAAATGTATCACCATTTGTTGAACGTACTTCAAATACATTTGATTGCATTTCAAGTATTGATATATCAAATGTACCACCACCAAGATCATATACTGCAATACTAAAAGAAATCCAAAGAATTTTTTTATTATAAAACAAATTTTGTTTTTTTTTTTTTTTTGATTTTACATTTTATCATTTGTTTTTTCAAGACCATAAGCAAGTGCAGCTGCTGTTGGTTCATTAACAACACGAAGAACATTTAAACCAGCTATTTGACCAGCATCTTTTGTTGCCTATAAACAATTTTGATTAATTTATTAAATAACTGTCTTTTATTTATGTAAATTAACAAACTTGTCGTTGTGAATCATTAAAATAAGCTGGAACAGTAACAACAGCATTTTTTACTGGTGAACCATAATAATTTTCAGCTGTTTCTTTCATTTTCATTAAAACAAAAGCACCTATTTGACTTGGTGAATACATTTTACCATTGGCTTCAACCCATGCATCACCATTAGATGCACGTACTATTTTAAATGATACACTTTGCCTATTGAAATCAAATTTTTTTCTTTTTTTTTTCTATTATAATAAAAACTAGAAAAATTACATTTCTTTTTTAACTTCTTCATCATTAAATTTTCTTCCAATAAGACGTTTTGTTGCATAACATGTATTTTGAGGATTTGTTACTGCTTGACGTTTAGCAGGCATACCAACAAGACGTTCATTATCTTTTGTAAATGCTACTACTGATGGTGTTGTTCGCATACCTATATATATATATATTTATGCTATTGATTTTGTCTATTATGAGAAGCTTATTAATATACCTTCAGCATTTTCAAGTACTTTAGGTGATTTGCCTTCCATAATAGCAACACATGAATTTGTTGTACCTAAATCAATACCAATAATATTTCCTTTGACTTTGCCACCACTAGCTTTAGATACATCTTTCGAATCGCTAAATATATAAATTCACAAATGATTGATACAATAATGAAATCTACCTTTTGTGACGAATACTTTGCCCTTGAATTGTTGCCTAAGATTAAAAAAAATTAAATAAGGTTAATAAAGTCGAGAGAAGAAAGAAAAAAGTCTTACTCGAACTATTGAAGATTGTTCATGACTAATTCGTGGTGTTAAATGTTTTAAGCATGTATTAAAAACTCGTTGACGAACGAACATTTTAATAAATGATCTGAAAGAAAAAAGTATATTCATTTTATTTATAATATAATGTGTACTAAAAAATCTATTATCAAATCAGAGATCATGGAACAGACTAGAGAGAATAAACTGTCATCGTAAATGAGTATGGAAACTGATTGAAAGTAAATAATGATGGCGATTGGTACGTCGAGAATTGTAGATAACTAATAAACAAATACAAAAAAAAAAGATGATTCCTTCTCATTCCTCCATCGAAAGAATTACTCATATTAAGAGAATTTGTTAAAGAGTTTTAATCGTTTTGTTGTTTCTAAAAAAAAAGATGATCTGAATAGTAATATTTTCTTAATAATAAAACAAATGTTCAATATAAAAATACAAAAAAAGTGAAAAATTCAAAGATTATTTTTGTAGATGTCGTGCTCGTACGGTTAAGGTGACGAGGGATTGACTCAAGTAATTCAGAGCTTTCGAGTTGATGTTTTGCCCATGAGTAGGACTCGATGAAACTAGAAAAAGTCTAAAAGAATAATGGCACCTTGGCATTTGATATCACGTTACGACTATTAGGTTATTATCATGACTATAAGATCTACATGTAGACACAATTTCAGACCGATATTCTGTAACTTGAGTTTTTCGATAAATATCTTGTCATAGCCGTTAAATCGAGTATATTAACTGTAACTCAAAAAGAAAGACCTGCAAGTCCTTATTCTTTTAGGCTTTTCCTAGTATCATCTGGCGGTTGTCTTGTTAGCCAGATTTTGTTTTTAATCAGTTGAATAGGTAGTAAAGGTAAGTGTGTGTTAGTGGAGGATATAAGTACAACTACATCCGACCCACATCAACACCTACATTCACCCACACCCATACTCTCTCTCCTCCCCCACATCCGCACCCATCTACGCTCACACCCACATCAACTAACATCAATGCACCCAACCATGTCACATACTCACAGCCGTTGGTATGTTCGTTTTGCTTCTGTTCACTAATATAACGCATTGTATCAATGCAAATATGAAAACCTATCGAATGAACATGATAGGTAATAGGATTGTGTTGCAAAACTGGTCGCGAACAAACATTTTAATGTGTTCGGTTTGATTAGCTCGATGACTCCTTCGACAAGTCAATAAACGAGTATTCTCGCTTATAACTCTATGAACGTAATAGCCGAAAAAACGTTTTATGGCCCCTTCTCAGAGTGTTCAAACAGAGAAGGAAGTCTTTCAATTTATTTTTAAGAACTTTTTTCTCATCAAACAAAATATATTTTCATAACACTGCTGAGCTGTTGTAATATGTCTATGCAATCACTTAATTATTTTAGCACACTAATTTGTGTTTATAATAAAGTGCAAGGAAAATGCTATAGTATGAGGAAACTAATAATCATCATCCAGAAAATCTGGCATCAATATTGGCTCAATAAATGATCCAATATAAGGCTGCGTGTTCCATTTTGAGTCTTTTGAATTGTCGTTATTTAAGGATAAAGAAAAAGTAGGAGAAGAAGAGAGAGTTTGCGTGGTTTCTTCCTGATTTTCATTGGTTTCTCTTTCATTTGGGATTACAATCATCGATTGTGTTGATTCAGCTTCCTTATCTTCAGTATCATTGTCATCATCCGTTTGATCGTCTGCAGTATCATCATTATCCGTTTCATCTTGTGGGGTATGGGTGTGGGCATGGGGTGCGGAGGTAGGGTGTGTAGGTGTGGAGTGTAGGTATGGGATACGGGCAAGGAGAAACAACTGACTTTATGACTTAAATGATCTACATGATCTAAATGACTTTAAAGTCACAAGTCAGTTGTTTCCCTCTTGAATTCTGCTCATGTTCACTGTGGCTGTTGAGTTTCCGTTAGGCTAATGAAACAGGCAAATAATTTTCCATTGTCTAGCTGTTATCGACATTCGTAAACACGGTGGTCCTCGATGCTTAAAACCGGACTTGCAACGCAATCTGGTTCATTATTATACGCATGATATTTTTGAAACTCAAAAAATCATCATCATAACAATCGGCGAGTATGAGAAATAATCAGACATTATTGTTTTCTAATTCTAATTCGTTTATTCACTCTAAGTGCGTGCCATCCTCACAGAATTCTGTATATTCAAAGAAACTCTCTGAAAAACTCATATTCTACAGAAACTGAATGGATGAATATAATTGGCATATAAGGAATCAAATCCAAGTACTAGACGCTGTTCGGTCTTATATTTTAGCTAGGGGAGGGAACTCAGTGAGACTAAGAAAGTCCTAATAAAATTCGCGACCGTAATCTACACACTAAGATTTATAACTGTTTTACTGGGATTCTGGCGTGTTCATTAAAATATTGAATAGCAAAAATTGAGGCGTGAAATTCTTATCTAACGAGGGAAGGTCCCCAACTGATCCACGCCATTTTCAATAATATTTTGTTCATATATAGGGGTCATTATTCTAAGAAAAATCCTAAGAAGGTTTCGGCTGATGATGCTTCCTTCGAAGGTTATGGCCATTTTACTGATTTTTCGATCTATGGTAAGATATTTACAAAAATATGGAATGACAAAATTTTGATCTGAAATTCTACCCATATGAAGATCTCATGGTCCTTTGTGTGTGCTAAAAGTTTCAGCGAAAACGGATGTTTCTTTCTCGAGATAATGAATTTGCAATAAATATTCGCATTTCACAGGATCTCAGAAAAATCGAGTCTTCTTGGACATTCATTATCTGGGAAATAGAACATCCGTTTTCACTGAAACTTTTAGTACATATTAAAGACCATGAGACCTTCATGTGGGCAAAATTTTCAGGTCAAAATTTCGTCATTTCATGTTTTTGTAAATATCTTACCATAGATCGAAAAATCAGTAAAATGGACATAACTTTCGAAGGAAGCACTATCAGCTCCAACCTTCTTAGGATTTTTCTTAGAATAATGACCCCTATATATGAACAAGATATTATTAAACATGGCGTGGATCAGTTGAAGACCTTCCCTAGTAAGATACGTTTCATAGACTTGACAATACTCTAAAAGTTTTAGCTAACAACCATATTGCTTTATCAAGATAGTGAATATTCATGTAAACTCGATTTGCGTGCGAGGTCGTTGACAAATAATTAGGTTTTGAAGATTCAACATCATAACAAAAGAACATTGAAGTTGCGGTTAATGCTTTCAGGAAGTTATATGAACTACCAGACTTGTGTAAAAACAAAATTGCAGACGTAAAATTCACAACCCAACATTTCTGATAAATATACCTACGGATACGCACGAAATTTACCAAAAGAGTTAATGGGATGTAAAGCAAGATACATGATGAAAAACAATAATAATTTTCAATCTTTCAGATCATTTAAGTCAAAAAAGTCATTTTAATTATTTAAGTCATAAAGTTAGTTGTTTCCTCTTTGTGAATTATCCTATTCAGAATGTTTTCTGGGCGATTCATGGTTAATTGGCTGAAATCAGGGGTCTCAGAAAAACCCTTGAATCTCTTGAACTGAATCAGCTGGAAAGATGGGCTACGCGTTGATCGAAAGAGAACAATTTTTCTACCAGAAATGTAAATTAATAATTGAGCCAAGTTGCGAAATGGGTCCAAAGTATTGTGTTCAACATGTTCCTTGAAAATGCATCTGATTGGTCCATTGTTGACCACTCCGATTTTAGCATATGCTGATGCGCCTGGATCTTCTCTTCTTAATTGTGAAAACCGAAACTCACTACCTTGCTCCTATCAAAAGTTATTCGAAAAATACCCCACCCGTCTTGTTTTTATTGAAACAGCCAATAGTTATATTCTATGCGTATTTTGGTAAAATCATTGTTTTTGTATCATCCTCGAAGCGTATATTGATATCTTAACATATGAACAGATTCTAGATGAATATTGACTTACATCCTCTTTCAATTATTCTGAGTTATTGATGATTATGAATGACTTTCGAGATCTAAATGATCTAAGTAATCTAAATGACTTTAAAGTCATAAAAGTCAGTTACTTCCGCCTAGGATACGGGTGTTTGAAAATAAACAATACTAACACCCACTCCCCGATGACTAAGTATTAAAGAAGAGGAGAAAAAAGTAGAAAAAGAACAGAGGAGAATAACAAGAAGATGATACACATTGTAAAATAAAATATGATCTAGTACAAGCAGAACATGTCGTGCAGAAATAGGTTTTATAGATAATCTAATATTAAGATATTAGTTGACAAATAATCCAAAAGCATAGAAAGATAGAGTTTTTTTCTGTATCAGACTATAGAAAGAAGTTTTTTTTAATTATGCTGAATTTTATTCGTGACATCCATACGCTTTTTTGTGATTATTATATAATTTTCTGCGAACGCTTACGAAACATAGGAGTCAATAGACAAGACTACGGTAACAAACAGAAAGAATGACAAGGAAGCCAAAAAGGAACAGAATGAAAATCAAAATCAAAGCAGTGATGACGAGGTTGGTGTGCATTGCTGTTCTTCCTTTGTTTATTCTTCCGATACCGTGTATCTTGATACCGAAGACACCGTGCCGGGGGAAGGGATCGAACCTTCTGATGTCTGACTAACAATCAGATGCATAGAATAACTATGCCATCCCCAGCAGAAAGAAGATTTCTTTAGGTCTACTATACGGTATTAAAGTGTGATCGTCACTACTTTTGATATGCCCGTAAGTATGATAATACTAGGATTTTACATAGAAATAATTTAGTTTTTATAAGTAAAACTAAGACATACGGTAAAGTGACATATTCTATTAACGACATCACTACGAAAATTGAATAGCTCTCCAAAATTAATGTTTGAACATATAGTAGTCAACGGTTGAATTCATTGAAAGACATGAACCAAAAATCGGTGTCGAATGTGACATTTTCTTTTCATTATACTTGTATTTGAAAGTTTCAAACTTACGAAATATCTGAATATGTGTAAGATGCTCTCAGAAAAACCTTATAAAAGCTATTTACAGTTTCAAATGAAAACTCAAAACCA